CCAAATACACCACCACATACAAAGCGGTGTAGCCCTCCACACATCCTGACAATGAGCCCCCACAGGGCAACCTCTTCACGCCTCAATCAACCCTCTAGCGGATCCTAGCATAACCCAAGAAAAACCAAATAAGCCAAACATCAAATCCCAACACTCTCTAGCCAAAGAGCAATGAATGAGAAGGTGATCCATTGATTCCTCATCACAAAGACACATATAACAATGATTGACCACCACCTGGCTTCTTCTTCTCAAATTATCCTGGGTTAAGATCCTTCCCAGAACCGAAGTCCACACAAAGAAAGCCACCTTGAGAGGAGCCTTAGAACGCCAAACAGACTTCCAAGGAAAACGAACTCCAGGATTAAACGAGAGATGCCTGAAGAAAGACCTCACCTTAAACCGCCCCTGGAGTTTGCAACCCATGACCAACAATCTGAATCCTCCTCCACAATCCTCTGGCGATACAACAGCTCCAAGAAACGAATGGCCTCCTCGATCTCCCAGTCCTGAAGACGCCTGAATCGAACATCCCAAACCAGTCTCCCATTATCAAGATGATAACAGTTAACCACCATGGCCTGCCTATCCGAAGCAATCCTGTAAAGCTGAGGAAAAGCGAGGGCGAGAGGAACATCACCACACCACACATCCTCCCAAAAACAAATCCTCCTCCCATCTCTAAGACGAAACCGAATGTGTTTAGAAAAATCATCCCAACCCTTCCGAATAAATTTCCAGAGCCCCACCCCTCGAGGTTCCCTTACTTCCAGAGAACTCCACCCTCCTCTCATCTCCCCAAAACGACAAGCCACAACCCTCCTCCAAAGCCAATGTCTCTCCACACCAAACCTCCACAACCATTTCCCAAGGAGGGCCTTATTAAAAGGCACCAATCTACAGAGACCCAACCTACCACTCCGAATTGGCCTGCAAACCTGGTCCCATCGCACCAAATGAAACTCAAACTCTTCACCTCCACCCCCCCCCCCCCCCCCCCCCCCACAGAAAATTACGCTGCAACCTCTTAATCCTCTCCGCTACTAAAGAGTGAATCTGAAAAAGAGAGATAAAATAAGTGGGAAGGCAAGAGAGGATGCTCTTAATCAGAGTGACCCTACCTCCCTTGGAAAGATACTACTTCTTCCAACCCGCCAACCTTCTCTCAAATCTATCCACCACTGGATCCCAAATCCCCACACACCTCGAAGGAGCTCCCAGTGACAAACCTAAGTAAGAAATGGGAAATGAACCGGTACGACAAACAAGAATGTCAGCAAAAGCCTCAATCTCAGGAACCTCCCCAACCGGCACCAAAACACTCTTGCCCACATTCACCTTAAGGCCGGAGACAACTTGGAACCAAATCAAAACACATCTCAGACATCTGATCTGGGACACATTCGCATCACAAAGAACTAAAGTGTCATCAGCAAACATCAAATGAGAAATCTCTAACTGAGAAACAGCATCCCTGCCCACCCAAAAGCCCCTCAAAAGACCCAACTCGGTAGCCCTTCTCATCAATCTACTAAGTGCCTCCATCACAAACAAGAACAAGAAGGGGGAGAGAGGATCCCCTGTCTCAAGCCCCTTGGGCTAGAGAAAAAACCAGTAGGAGCACCATTAACAAGGATCGAAAAACGAGCACTGGAAATACAAAAATGCATCCATCTCCTCCACCTATCACCGAACCCCATCCTCTTCATCAGGTAAAGAAGGAAGCTCCAGCTCACATGGTTATACGCCTTCTCAATGTCCAACTTACAAAGAACACCCGGGACCCCACTACGCAATCTGGAGTCCACACACTCACTTGCAATAAGGACTGAATCCAGAATCTGACGGCCTCCGACAAAAGCGTTTTGAGAGTCCGAAATGATGCCATCCAAAACTTTCCGCAATCTTGAAGCAAGCACCTTGGCAATCAATTTGTAGATACAACCCACCAAACTAATAGGGCGAAAATCCCTAACAACCACCCCCCACCCCCCCCCCCCCCCCCCCCCTGTTTTCGGAATGAGAGTAATGAACATGGCATTCAAGCTTTTCTCAAAAGATCCCCGAGAATGGAAAGCAAGAAAAGTGCCCATCACCTCCCCTTTCACCACCTCCCAGCACTCAAGAAGAAATCTCATGGTAAAACCATCTGGACCTGGGGCTTTATCCCCATTGCAACTCTTCAAAGCAATCAAAACTTCCTCCTCAGAAAAAGGCAACTCCAAGCCCAAGCACTCCCTGCTCAAAAATAGAGTCAAACTGCACCCCTTCAAGCAAAGGTCTCCACTCAACAGCCTCTGTGAACAACTCCTCAAAAAACTCTGAAAATCCTTTGCAGATCTCCTCCTCCTTACAATGAATAACCCCCTCAACCCGAATCCTCCCTATATGATTGCCTCTTCTATGAGCATTGGCCAATCTGTGGAAAAATTTTGTGTTTCTATCCCCCTCCTTAAGCCACAAAGCTCGAGATTTTTGCCTCCACGAGATCTCCTCCATGATTGCAATCTCCGAAAACTCCGCCTTGCACTCCGCCCTCCTAACCTTCAAAGTTTCCACCAATTCCCCTTGACCCTCCATCCGGCCAATCACCGCAATCTCAGCAAGAACCCGATTTTTTTCTCCATTCCAGATTCCCAAAGACCTCTTTATTTCAAGTCTTAAGATTCTCCTTTAAGAGACGCAATCTACCTGCAAGCACATGACTAAGGGTGCCAACCACACCATACCCCTCCCACCAAAGACGGACCCTCTCCAGAAAACCCTCAGCCTGCAGCCACATATTCTCGAATCTGAAAGGAAAACGTCTACTACACAACCCGCCACAATCCAACATCAACGGAACATGGTCAGAGATGGGACGAACCAAAGTAGCCTGAACAACATCAGAGAACCTCTCCTCCCACTCCCCCGACACAAGGAATCTGTCAATCCGAGAAAGGGTAGGGGGAGAGCGACCACTGGACCAAGTAAACGGACCTTCAACCAAAGGCAAATCAACCAGCCCAAACTCATCAATAAACTCTGAGAAAGCCTCCATATCAAACGTCCAACCAGAATCCAACCTAAGCCCACAAAAGTTTTTGAATTTGCTTGGACAACTTTTTTTGTTGTTTGGGTTAGGCTTTAGATTGAAAAAAATTTAAACCAACAGGACTAGGTGGAGGTGTCATGCAACCCAAACATAAGCAACACTAATATTATAGTAAGTTTAAAATATTAGCAATCCAAGACTATCTTGACCAACCCAACCAAACCCAGCTACCCAAGCTCAGAGGAATAAAATCAGTTGGGCATGTCCAGTTGAACATGGACGAGGATTGATGGTTTTATGCCTTGGTCTAAGCTCAAGTTGAATCCTCAACTCACCCAACCTACGCGAGTTGCAACCCTAACTGACGAAATGTGAGAAGCAGGAAGACAAAATGTCTAAACTATGAATTTCAAATTATGGATAGCGCGTGAGATAGACAAGACTACTTACAAGAGTCTATGCTTCTTAATCACCCTCTCTACTAAGAACTTGTTACATTACTGAAATTATTTAAAGATATTAAACCAAATGATGCTTAGGGTATTAAGGGTGAATCTTCAATTATAAAAAAATTTGGACCTAGATCAACTAATAAACAATTAGACAGACAATCAACTAATAAATGACTGTTCCCAAAAAGATTGCAATATTGGTCTATTCAAAAAGAAAACTTGCCACAAGAGTTTATGCAGTTAGATAACTGTGGAAAACGCCATAAAGAAAAAGGCCAAAAAGAGTTAAATTTTGAAATGAAGAACTAAAAATAAAAGCCAAATATCCAAAACCCAAAATTTGCAATGTACACCACTTACCTCGACTATTCACTTATCCTAGATAGGCTAATACAGTCGTTAGCCAATAACCACTTGTTCGTTATCTACAGAGTGTTTGTGGTAAAATAGGAAGCCCCTAAGATGTACGAAATGACTAGCATTAATAGGAAACTTCCTTTTAAAAAAAACACTTAAACACAAAAAAAGGAAAAAGAAATGAAACTGAGTGGACCCATTTTGTTTTAATAGATTGGGACCTGCCAGATTTCAATAGCAATTAAATATGTCTATGGCATAATTAATCACTGATAATAACTATTTAGACACCCTTCGGCCCTTAAGAAACATCTCCTATTCATGTTGTCTATGAGTGGAATGTCTGTAGCCTTCACATTCAGTTGCATCACTGCCTCAATGAGTTTAATATTGATGTGCCCCAAGAGAATTCATCTGTGTGAATTTTTGAAATATTTTCATAATACTACCGTAATAATAGATCTCAAATAGCAAAAAGATCATCACTTACCGGCCATCCTCTTACTAATAGTTCCAGAGATAAGATCAATGTCTCCAAGTAATTACTTCTAGTGAAGAGAAACTGAGGCAATTTTCAGAAGCCGGTACAATGGAATTAAGAGAAAGAGAATAATGAGGTTGGCCCACATACTTTCTGACAATATAAAGGTTTTACTTTGCCTACAAATTGTCAACTAACAGTACTGGACTTGTGAAAGCAACTGGAGAATGCAAATTATTTTTGACTAAGGGACTCTTCATGGCAAGCATTTATTCTTACAAAAAAAATGGCTTCTGAACACAATGAGATTGTCATTTCTCAATCTTGCTTCAAAACAATGTCAAAAGCCCAAAACATCTAGGTAAACAAAGTACAATTGCAAAAGATATAACAGGATCTGGGTCTCATTTAACAGTAGGAGTCTAACTGAATAAAGATAGCAAGGGTAGGATGAAAGATATCAAGGGGAAATTTAGAACCAAAAAAAAAAGTTTCACCTAGAAATGAGAGGGAGCCGGAAGATCCTTTTCAAGGAATTCGTCAAGGGCATTGAACGTGCTGACAATAAATATGATGTAGTACATACATCTAAAAGAAATATAACAAAATCTGTTCTAGAATAATTAAAACCAACAGCTCACTCTATTTAGTATAACAGTTAGGGAAGTCTGCCCACCTTTGACCTAGGTGTTGGCTTCAAAAAAAATGATGAACTTTTGCGCCACGGCCAACTAAGTTCAAAGCAATGGAGTGACCTGAAGAAAAAGATGTATCTTATACAACAACCAGAAAGAGAGAACTTAACAAAGCGTGCAAAATGCAAATAATACACACCAAAAATATTCATTAAAATCATCATAATTTCTCCACGCAGAATGGGGTGCTCGACCATTATCATTATTAGCAGCTTCCTGCACACTCAAGCAAATAGGTAAAATCCTCTTAAAATTATAATGACTTAAAAACATTAGGATTTAAAAAATCATAAAAAATAAAATAAAATAAACTATGAGGAGACTAATTCTACAGAGTGCAAGCAGAAACATAATTATGAAATAAATATGGCACACAATATGTAAGTGGGGAAAAAAAAAAAAAAAACAAGAATTAAAGCAATTCACAGATTATAGGACAACAACCACATGCAAACATGCACAAGAAAATTCAAAAAAAGAAAATGAAGACCATTACTCCAAAATAATTTCTCTATAACATAAGATTGGTACCAAAAGTGAAACCATAAAAAAGCCACATAATTCAAATAATCATACCGAAATGCGCTCCCCCCAATAAGGGAAACCTTCCTTGGTGCACCTGGGATTCTTACAGGTAACTCCAATTTTTAAGAATGTTATCGGTAAATTCCATGTTAGACTTCCCTCAACACAAAAAAGTGTAAAAAGGGAAAATTTAAGAATTTGAAACTAATAACCCAAATACAGCAACTATGCTCAAGCCCCTTCATGTCATTAGGTCATCTTCTTAACAAACCAAGTAATATGATTGAATCTCCACATACTGGATCTTCATATTTTCTCACACAAAAAAAAAAAAAAAAAGAATTATGAAGGCTTTCTTCATTAACATGGTTAAAATAACGACATAGCACAAGCCATAATTATTCTTTTACAAAAAATTGCACCACCCACAGAAGCAAATTTCCTAGAAAAATCCTTAATCTTTGAAACCCCTTCATAACCGAATACAAAACCATAGCCTTGATATAGTGTTGTAAATTCAAGCCCCGTCATTTCTTTAAAATGCAGAACTTACAGAGTCGTCCAGGTTTGATTTCAGTGGCAAAAAAAAAAGTGAAAGACGAATAAAGAGATATAGAATACAAAACCAAAAAAGAAAATTCAACAACTTAATAAAGAAAATTCAAAGTGTATGCCAAATGAGAACTTGAATGTTAGCCAAGAAACCATGTTTCAGCCTGAGAGTGTCCTTAGAGCCATGTCAGGAAACTATCTGCTTTGTCCAAAATTCAGGTTTTAAAAGAAAGTAGTGCAGATATCTCTCGTTACTTCATTGCCAAGATTACCACTAGCATTAGAAAAAGAAGAGAACTTTTTTAAATTTTAAGAAGCAAAAGAAGAAAGAAAGAAAAATTAAATAATAAAAATAAATGGATGCAAACTTCAGTGACAACTCAAAATCCTCATGCCAATATGCAGCAAAAAAGATTTCCCAAAAGAAGATGTAGAAAGAAGAAATGACACCTAAACAAAAGAATGTAAACATGAGGATCATGAAATATGACTATAAACTAAAAGAGGCCATACATTCAGCTAAAGAGTTCAGTTTTTATAATTAAGCGGTGAACAGTAAAAATAAGATGTCATTGAAACATACCGCAGCAACAACCTCATACAGAGGGCGTATAACTTGATCAACGAATGACACGCCGTTCTCAGAATTGCAACTGTTGGCAGGCAGTGCATTCTGTTGCCGTAATATTTCATCAAGTTCCCTACCCATCTGTGTATCAAATTTATAGTTTAACAAGAATATACGAAGAAGTAAATATGCAACAAAACCTAAGCAATCAAAATCTAATCTAATACATATTTAAAATACACAAGATGATTGAAGTATGATCTAAACTACTTAGTAACATATTTAGAGTAATTCTTGTATTGTTGGCAAATTTAGTTCAAAAATGTGTTTTGCTAGGGTGTGAACAAAATAACTTGAATGTTCAAGCCAAACACTTTGCCAAGGTTCGACTTCGAAGACTGAGTTATGGCGATGAAAGTTAATTCAGAACATTTTACAAGATGCTCCGTGATGCACAAACATATTAGGCAACAATAATTAAGACCTTCAAGACATTAGGATTTGGGTTGACTTTAGGTAGTTTGGACCTTTCTTGACTTTAGGTTCGCACTTCATTGAATGTATTCAAAAGGGTGTTATTCAAAATTAGAACAAGTCCAGAAACAGTGTATGTTTAACCCAGTACAGCACCGGCAGGAGAGCATTCTGTTTTATCAAGTTGGTTTCCAGATCGTGGTTGCACCGCTTCTATGTTTCCTTGCACCAGTACAACATGATTCTATTCTACTTTATTTCTGAGACAGAATACTATTAGACCAGTGTCACCTTTTTTATACCGGTAGAACCTTGTCCATTATGTTCTTGCAAGGGTACAAATATTTGCTTGCACCTGTACAGCCTGACAGAAAACCTGATCTTTCACGAATTTAAGTTCAAATTCAATTGGGTTTTGAAGGCATCTCTTGACAACTATATAAAAAACATTTTTTTTCCCCAAAAGTTCAAGCAAATACTCACACCCACTATATATCTTATGCCTCCACCCAGACTCGAACACTCGACCTCGCCATTTGGGCAAGAGAGCTTATACAATCTAGGCTAGTGCTCACTGGTAACATTTTCTAAGTTCTTTGTGTGTGAAAAAATTCCAGAAATTTGTGAATACAACAACGAATTCAAAACCCTAGATTTTTCATAATTTCTTCTTTCACAAGTAGGAGATTCTTTTTTTTTTTGATAAGTCACAAGTAGGAGATTCTTTAAATCCTAATGATTAATTGGGATTGAATTCGAGAGCAATGAGCTTAGTTATGATTATTTTCAAGATCAATCACAGTTTTTTTTTTCTGATAAGTAAAGATTTCATAGAAATGTGCTCAAGCAGGGAGTGCATCCCAAACTATCAAAAGAACTATATGCTCAAACTATTAAAAGCAAAGTCAGAAGAAGTATATCCTCAAACTATCCACAAAAGCCAAGAGATCCTCCACTGATTTACAAAATCCACCATGAAACTAAAACAAGAGGGGCAAGGCGAAGCACGCTCCTGAGCGAGGCATACAATTGAAAAATTAAATTACTACAAATGAATTCCTACAAAGTCAATGTTCTAAAAAAAAGTAATACCATACATGAAAAAATTCAAAAAAGCCCCAGGCTCCAAAAAAAGCCCCAGGCTCGTCAACGCTCAGCTAGAGTGCCTCAACCTACTACAAGCCAGGCCCCTTCAATCAGGCTCACATAAAGCCCTCAGGCTCACACTTTTTAGTAGGCTCCAGGCTCAAAAAAGGCGCGCCTTGTAATTCTAATCATTTATTCGTATCATTTTCTTTTTTTACTTAATGACTACTAAATTAAAAGGTTCTATAGCATATACCATATTGTTTAACCTTGTGAAATATTTGACAAAATTCATAAATTTATGGTTCACTACTAACATTAACTGCAATTATTGCTTGATTATGAATATATATAATAATATATTATTAATTATGCATTATTATATACACGCGCCTTACTTCAATCAGGCTCACGCCTTATACTACGCCTTGCACTTAAGCTCCAGAAGGCCTTTGGCAACTTAGTGCGCCTTGAGCCTTTAACAACTATGGCATTAAGTGGCGATTGGCGAGAAGAAGAAGGAGAATAACTAACTTGTGTGATATCGTCTCTGGCACTCCACAATCTCCTCTTGGGGATTTTTGAAAAAAAAAAAAATTGTTAGCAGAACAAGACAAATTCATGCTTTTGGAAATTCTAAGTCTTTCTTTTTCTTTTTATTTGGTTTTGCTTTTATAATATGTATAATGTACCACTTTTCCAATCATGTACAACATTCAGTGGGTTAACATGTATTATCACCTCCTTTTGATGTTAGGTTTGTTTGGGTTCAGCGAGTTATGCCCAGGTACTCCAGAGGTTTTATTGAGGCTTGGAGAGATTGTATAGTGGGTGCCCAAGCCCGGGATGTTTGGAAGACTATGCCTTTGTGTCTAGTGGAGTTTATGGCTTGAAAGAAACAAGTGGTCCCTTGAAGAAAAGGGGACTCCTTTTATAGCTTGAAAGAAACAGGAGGCCATTTGAAGGAAAGGAGACACCTATTTCTGTGCTTAAGTTCTCCATTATTACCACTCTTTTTTGTTGGGTTGTAGGGAGAAATTATAGATCTTTAGAGGAGATAGTAGATTTTTTGGGCTCTTTGAGAGTTTAAAGGCCTTATTTGGACTTGTGTACTTCTCGTGGGATGTGTTCCCCTTTTGAAGGCTTTTTAATACAATCTTAATTATCAAAAAAAAAAATTGTATAAACATTCATCTAACGATCCAAGATAAAGTAAGGCAAAGGAAAGAGGACAAAAAAAAAAAAAAAAAGCATTTAGGCGTGCCTTTTGGCAACTAGAACTAAGTAGGAGGCAACACCCGAGCATGCACCTATTGAATGTTGTTGCACCTGGGCCAACCTTTAATAATGCTGAGATCAACAAGAAGGACAAACTTGCGCCTCTAAAAAGAGCACAGGTTATTCGCAGAGCAATCATGTTCAATTTCAGTGGCTTGTTTGAAAGTCTGTGCTAGTGAGCCTGAGATCCACACAGTGCTATTCAAAGCGCGCCTGGGCTCGAGGCTCAGGTCTAGAGCCTGTTGTCATCCCAAGCTCACTGATGTTTACTAGGCGCGCGCCTCGGTTGCGCCTCGTCCTGTTTGTCAGTCAGGTGCGCCTAGGCATGCCTCACTGCTTTTTTAGAAACTATGATTATTCTATTTCTTAAGCCAAAAATGGTACTTTTGGAAACTTAATAAACAAATAAGAAAGCCCAAGCGTTCGAGAGAAAAAACTTTTGTTCAAAAGAATAAAGAAATAAGAAAGCCCAAGAGTCAAAGCGTCAACCGAACAGAGAAAGAGTGAGACGTGAGACGAATGACGAAGCCCTAGTTGCAGAGATGAACGACGACGCCACGTCAGTTCTTTCTTCTTCTTCTCTCTCCTCCTCTACTTCTCTCTCCTCTCTTCTCCTCTAATCCTCTCTTCTTATCTTTGTTTACATCTCTATCTTCGCCTAGTTCTCTTTTCTCTTAGTCTTTTTTTTGGTGGGGCTCAGTTTTTTCTCCTTTTTTTCTTAACGCTTTCTCTCTTTTCTCGTCTATTTCTCTCTCTTCATCTACTTCTTCCGTCTCTGCATCTTTTTTTTTTTGGCTCTGTTTTTTCGTTTCTTTTCTTGTTAGCAGTTTTTTTTTGTTTGTTAACAGATTTATTTCTTTTTGCACTCTGTTTTGCCATTCAAAAAAAACAAATTCTGCTTTGCCTTTCAAGAAAACAAATTTGTGCTCTATTTTATGATTGTTGGATGCTTGTTTAGTTGATTTATTTACTTTTTTATATTTGATATTAATTTTTAGAATATTGATATGACTTATGAGATATGAAGGTTTATTTTAAATTTTCAATTCTACGTCTCACTTCACTCAGGCACGCACCTCGTGCCTAGGCTCCAAAGGACCTCTAGCGCCTTGGGCTTTTAATAACACTGGATCCACAGCAACTGGGCATGAGTTTGTTCACGTAGAAAACCAGAAGTTAGTCTGACATATTGCAGCAACCAAGTCTTGGCAAAGTAGATCTAAGCATAAGTCGAGTCAAAGTTGGTGTAACTTTTCTTCATTATAGTGGATTGCTTTACTCTAGAGAATTCTCGTTGAGGTTTTTCACGTAAGTAACCTGGTGTTTTATTTCCTTCACTTGCTTTACTTTATTGTTTAACTGAATTTTTATGTGATTGATTCGTTTAATAAGTACTAATTGAACCTTAAATTTAATAGTTCACAAAAATAAGCAAGTAGAGCTATTCACTCCCCTCTAGGTAAATAAGGAATCACTATAACTACAGTATCATCTATACACTTACGCAGACTGCTATTTCAGATTACTTTCCTTCAAAAGAAGGAAAAAACAAACTACAGAAGGCGTGGAGTTGTGGAGGGAGGAAGAGGTGCGTAGTGGGATCATTTCTTTTTATCAGAAGCTCTACACAGAACCTTTAGGTTGGGGACCTAAACTTGATGGTCTCCCTTTTGAGGCCATTTCTGTGCTGGAGAGAGATGGGTTAGAGCTTCCTTTTACTGCAGAAGAAGTTCTCAAGGCTTTATCCAGTTGTAATGGGGATAAAGCCCCGGGGCCAGACGGGTTCACTATGCGCTTTTTGAAGGAAAGCTGGGCGGTTGTGAGAAATGAAGTGATGAGTACCTTTCAGGAGTTTCATTCTACTGGTGTTTTTGAAAAATCGCTCAATGCATCATTTATTACCCTTATCCCTAAGAAGGGAAACGCTTCAGATATTAAGGACTTTCATCCTATTAGCTTAGTGGGTTGTATTTACAAACTCATAGCTAAGGTGCTGGCTCATAGAATGAGAGAAGTTATGGATGGGATTATTTTAGATTCCCAGAATGCCTTTGTTGGAGGACGGCAAATTCTTGATTCAGTTCTTATTGCTGGTGAATGTGTGGATTCAAGGTTGCGTAGTGGTGTTCCTGGAGTTCTTTGCAAACTTGATATTGAGAAAGCTTATGATCACGTCAATTGGAATTTCCTTCTCTACTTGCTTAAAAGAATGGGATTTGGAAGTAGATGGAGGACATGGATTGAGACCTGTCTTTCATCTGTCAAGTTCTCAATTCTTGTGAATGGTTCTCCAGCTGGCTTTTTCGGGTGTTCTCGAGGTTTAAGACAAGGTGACCCATTGTCATCTTTTCTTTTTCTAATTGTTTGGAGGGTTTAAGCAGACTCATGCACCGGGCAAAGAATCTTCGTCTTATCAAGGGATTCCGGGTGGGAAGAGATATTGACAATCAGGTGGAGATTTCACATCTACTTTTTGCAAATGACACTCTGGTTTTCTGTAATGCTGACGTGTCTCAACTTAGATACTTGAGATGCATTATGGCTTGCTTTCAGGCAGTTTCCGGGTAAAAGGTGAATGTGGCCAAGAGTGTGCTTGTCTCGGTCAGGAATGTTGAGGACATCTCTTCTTAAGCTGCAGTTCTTGGGTGCAGGGTGAACTCCTTTCCCATCCCTTATTTGGAATTGCCCCTAGGGGTTTCTTCCAGGTTTGTGGGGAGTTGGGATTCTGTACTTGATAGGTATGCAAAGAGGTTGGCTGGTTGGAAGAAGCAATATTTATCTAAGGGGTGTAAAGTAACTCTTATCAAGAGCACTTTATCAAGCCTTCCCACTTATTTTCTTTCCTTGTTCCAAATTACATGCTCCGTTGCTAATAGAATTGAACAAATTCAAAGGAATTTCCTTTGGGGAGGAAGGGGAGATGAGTTTAAGTATCATCTTGTTAGATGGAAGCAAGTTTGCAAGCCTATAATGTTGGGGGGTCTTGGTATTAGACGATTGATCCCTTTTAATAAAGCTCTTCTAGGTAAGTGGTTGTGGAGATACGGGAAGGAAAGACATTGTCCTTGGCGCAAATTAGTGTCTTGCAGGTATGGGGAAGATGTTGGCGGTTGGACCACACATCCGGTTTCTATTACGGGAGGAGTTGGGGCTTGGAAATCCATTCGACAAGGATGGGATGCCTTTTCCTCTCATATCAGATTCAGAGTTCGAGATGGTAGTTGTGTTCGCTTTTGGGATGATCTTTGGTGTGGGAACCAGCCTTTATGTCGTACACTTCCCAGGTTATATAGTATTGCAGTTGATAAACATGCCATAGTTGCTAACTGTTATCATCTTGATAATAGTGGGATTACGTGGAATGTTCATTTTCGGCGTTCATTTCAGGATTGGGAGTTGGAAGAGGTGAGCATTTTCTTGGCTCAATTGTATCAGCAAGAAGGAATTGGCAGGGGTTTTGACAATTTGACTTGGATTCCCTCCTCTCACGGGCGTTTTGCAGTAAGGTCCTTGTTTTTATGTCGATCTAATTTTGCATCCTATGATTTTCCTTGGAAGACAATTTGGTGCTCCATGGTTCCTACTAGGGTGGCATTCTTTGTATGGACTGCTATTTGGGGAAAGATTCTGACGATCGATAATTTAAGGGAAAGGGGAAATTTTATTGTTAATTGGTGCTGTTTATGTAAGCAGGATGGGAAGTCAGTTGATCATCTCCTACTGCATTGCTCTGTAGCGCACGATTGCTAGAATCTCATTCTTGGCCTATTTGGCATGTGTTGGGTAATACCACGTTCTACTAGGGAGCTAATTCATACTTGGAGAGGTTGTCGTGTGAGTAGGAGCGTTCGTGCTTCTTGGAGATCTGTACCACATTGTATTTGGTGGTGTATCTGGAAGGAGCGAAATAGTAGAATGTTTGAAAGGAAGGAGTCGTCTACAACGACACTGAAACTTTTTATTATTCGCTCTCTTTTTTGTTATGTGAACAGAAGTTCGTGTTCCTTTCTGTTGATTTAATTTCTTTTTTTGGATTCTTTGGGGCCTTACGCATTCCCCTATTGAACGCCTTTTTTAATTTATTATTACTTATCAAAAAAAAAAAAAAAAGAACTCCCCCCCCCAAAAAAAAAAAAAAAAAAAAACCATAGATTTACTCGGAAAAAGAAAATGTGTTAATAAATAAACTAATGTTTCAAAGCCAGAAGGCTAACAGATTCAGATTACTCCCTCCATCTCAATTTAAAAGTCCATCTTTCCTTTTTCGGTTGTCCCAAAATACTTGTCCCACTTAAAAAATTCAAAGTAAGATAAATGCATCTTTCCAAAAGTAACTTTTAAGTTTTCAAAAATTCCAAACCTGATTTAAAATATTTAAACTTCAGAGAGTAACTTGGGAATTTCAAAAAGGTTGTAATACCGAAAAGGTACTATTAAATTGGGACGGAGGGATTATGTAATAGCACAAATCAATGAAAAAAGGTAGACCTCAATTCTCAGGGACAAAAAACTTATTGCATAGAACTTCCTGCACAGCCATAAAATTTCACAACATTTGAGAGACGACAATTGGCATGTGCTAGAATGGTAATGAAACATAACATATAATCAAGCGTGTGGACAAAGAAATAAACAATTCAGTACAAGTTGACCTACATGATGAAATATGTAGCACAAGCATTCTGGAAGAAATCTAATGTTTGCGGCTTCACCCCATATCAGAAAATACAAGGAGATGTACAAGAACTTCTTCTCCTTGCTGACATCATCCAACCTGCAAAGAAACATTACATATTGTCAACATTTGAAGCTCATAATCATCAAACAGTAGGTGCACAAATTAAAATTTTCATTACCTGCTGTTGCTCCATACTGGTTGAATACCCAGATAGTTACACCACTTAATGTAGTTCTCAAGTGACTTCGAGAAAACCTTGCGCACAACAGCCTCATCCAATTGCTGGAGCAAAATCAAAACACATCATATCAATATGAGCGGGAAAAATAGAAAAGTTTCTACACAGCATTAGTCTAAGGTTTAGAGCGCCTTTCTCACAAAATTGTTTTGTTCACTGAACAACCAAGTACAGTTGCTTTTAGACATTGTTTGTAAAGTAGATTGCAATATATAAATATATATAGTAAATTTTAGTGAGAAAATTTACAATACAAAAAATCATTAGTGTCAATTCATTATAAGAAAGAAAAATAGTTAAATACATATCTTCAATGGCTTCCCATAAGTACTCAAAATTTCCGTTATATAAAATTCGACATAAGTTTTTATAGATTTCTTTCTCCTACTAGGCACTCTAAAATAGAAAATAAGCTTCAGTGCTGAGAAAATTCTCAACATATAAAATACCACATATAAGACCAAAATAATATAAAATGAGCCAAAAGTGACCAGTTGCCCACTCATATGGACAATAGAACAAAACCCTTAAATTACAAAGATATCCTTCAACATTAAAATTTAAGATAGCAAATATATTCATAACAACAAAGTAACATGAAACTAAAATAGAGTCAGACTTGAATTAAACCTATAATTCAGTAGACAAGATCCAAATCAAACTCCATATTAAATTTCATGTTTGCTCTCCTGCTTGTTAAAATATTTTGCTGAATGAGTTGTGCATACAGGGTGAAATGTGGGCAACTAAGAACTAATATGTTTATAAAAAGAGCATGGCCAAACCACAGTTATTGAATTGGATAAGTGAACTCGTGAGATGGTAGAAGTAGAGTCAATTAAAGATAAAATAAGAGAAAATTGACAAAGGTAGTTTGATTTTGTATAATTAGAACCAACAATTACACTAGTAAGGAATAATGCCATGGTCCGCATCGAAGATGATGCTTGGAGAAGCAGAACACCAAAATCGACAAGGATTGAGATATTAAAAATATATAACAGCATTGTTGGCCAAATTAGGTTCATGAAGTCAATCTCAAATAGTTGGGAAGAGACTTTGTTAAGTTATAGACACTCAGGTCAAAATCTTAGAAAGAGAAGGCACATTGCTGTCAACTGGTGTTGCATGTGTAAGAAGTCACGGGAGTCAGTTAATCACCTCCTCCTTCATTGCCCAGTGGCGAGGAACGTATGGTCGATGTTCTTGGTTATGTTTGGTATTTGCTGGGTGTTTCCCGCTTCCACGATTGATTTGCTTGAAGCTTGGAGAGGGTGCATAGTGGAGAGCTGAGCCAGGGATGCGTGGAGGGCCACCCCCTATTTATGGTGGGGTTTGTGGTGTGAGAGGAATAGGAGATCCTTTGATGGAGAGCTGTCTCCTATTTGGTCTCTCAAATACAACATACTTTCTTCTTTATTCTTTTGGGTCAAAGGGACAAATTGTAAATCTTTAGATCATCTTTTGGAGTTTTTGGATAGCTTGAAATTATAGTGTCGCCTTGGGCGTCTTTGTATTTCTTAGGGTTTTTTAATAATTTCGCCTTGGGCGCCTTTGTATTTCTTAGGGTTCGCTCCCCTTTTGAGCGCCTTTCAATGAAATCTTACTTATCAAAAAATAATAAATAAATTAGACTCTCAGATTGTAAGTAATAAACTTATATAAGGCTGAATGAAAAAAATCTCCACTAGACAAGATAATCTATATAGACAAGACCAAAGGGGCACTTATGAAGAATACCATCCTTTATCTCATCTTTAAATGTGTATAAAACTTTAGGCGCTGAAGCAAAAGCTGTGGATCCTAAATAAGGCCACATTTCCCTTTATGTTTAAAAAATATATAGTGACATAAGAAGGGGATTAGAGAGACTATAATATATAGTAGTGTATACAGAACCATATAAATCAATGCTAGTTTTCTGCAACCTATATGAACGAGGCTCATATTTGTCAAAGGTTCACCTAGACTCAAAAAAAAGGCCCAGGCTCATCAAGGGTCAGCCTGGGCGCCTCAACCTACTATAGGACAGGCCCCTTCACTCAGGCACACGCTTTTAAGTAGGCTCCATGCCCAAAAAAAGTGCGCCTCAACCTTATCCTTATCATGCATGTCAGTTATGACATATTTACTTTTGGAAAGAGTTTCAAAACAAAGGAAGCTCTCTGATCTCTTATGCTATTTGGAGAATTTGATTGCAGAGAAGTGATGCTCTACATAATGGTTATACTCAGCCTATGTCAACTGCCAATGCTATTGCATGGGATGTTCTACATGCGTTGAGTCTGTCTCTTGCAGATTTGTTAGGCATTTTCATGTTTGATGTTAGTCCCTAGTTGTGTGTTGGATTTTCTCCATTTCAGTTTTGTATTAAGGGGGTATGCATCCTTTTTTCCATGTCCTTTTTTTTATATTTTATAAAATAATCCCATTCAGGAAAAAAAATAATAAAATAGAAATTCTCAGGTAGTACTCGAGTACATGATTCATAACTAGTTTGTCCAGATCATGGCCTAAATTATTCACCTAAAAGAAACAGGGTCATGGTATTTTTACAATTTATTCAATAACAATCTAATTTATTATTCATGATAGAAAATTGGATGGCGCTTGTTCTTCTCATATAGACAATATTATATGCACTACATGGGGTATTTAGTTTATTTGATGAAAATTTTGTTACCCGTATTTTTTATAAAAGTTGTATGATTTTCTAGATTTTTTTAACCAAAATTCTATTGTATCATTGTGCATCACCCTCACTAGACTTTTCTGAGCCTTATCTCTATTTTTTGAGCCTTGTATTTACCCGCACGGAAGCTCCAAAATTATTTCACCTTCCGTAGGGTTATCCAAATAAAAAGATCTCGACAGGCACAGACAAAAACATTTAGTACCCTTCCTCCAGTGTCATAAGGGGAACTATGGCAAATAACTAGTCAAGTGCAATGTGATGATCATCAAATAAGCATATCAGAAAATTTTTTTTTTTTTTTTTTTGACAAGTAAATAAGCATATCAGAAATTAAGTATCAATTAACAACTATCACCAGAAAGATATGAAACCTACGGGTTCAGGCTCTTCAGGAATACCAAGCCGAGTTTGCTCATTTGCAAGGAGGTGAACTATATGCTCCCGCTGGTTAGAGACATTGTCTTTCTGCACAACAACCATGAAACTTAACTATTAGACCCATGAGCACTATGAATTGAAACACAAGATTTGTCTAAGTTGTTTACTACTGGACTTGTCCATATATTAAATAAAACAATAATGAATGAATTAAATAGACCCACAAACATGAAACATATATCTCATAAATTACAAATGGAACTTAAGTTTCATAATTGCTCCAGACAATTTTTCTCTTCATTAGAGGAGCTTGAATACAAAAACAAGAGGAGAGATGGTAAGGTACCCTACCCCACAAAGATGCATAGGAACGAAGTAACAAGACTGAAAAAAAAAAAAAAAAAACACCACTTAAGCCTATATCCCCCCATCATTTTCAACACGAAAACATCTCAAAGAAAACTAAAGAGAACAATAACGATCTAAACATTCAAAAATCTAAATCTCAGGAAAAAATAAACAGAATTCACAATTTGGAGGCCTAAGTGGACTGTGGAGTCATCAAATCCTCTGTATTACCACTATAACGAATAGAGAAAGGAATCAAACATTAAGTACCCACATCACACAGCAATTAATACACAACCGAAATTTCCCACCGGTAACCACTTTAAATAAAGTAAAATTTTCAATAAATCATTCAGTAGAAGGAATTCCCACTTTTTAATGGATACTGTCACCACCAATATACTGTCATTGGATGCAAACATGACACTATCCTGATCACATTATGGGTCGCGTATTGCAGTGTGTGGCTGTTTCAAATCTAGAACAGCCATCAGGCCCCCTACTATTACATATCAGCCTCTACAACCCCCATAAAGCCTGATTTTGGTGTATGGAATTTAAGAAGTCCATTCTTAAGCAAATTTCAACTTTTTCATATTCTCAACAGAATCTTTAAAAAAAAAAAAGGGGCCTTTAGTTTGTCAAAATATGCAATATATATATATATATATATATATATATATATATATATATAGCGAGAGAGAGAGAGAGAGAGAGAGAGAGAGAGAGAGAGAGAGAGAGTGTGTGTGTGTGTGTGTGTGTGTGTGTGTGTTGGGGGGGGAGAGGCCAAAAAAAAAAAGGAATAGGAACTTGTTCCCAAGAGGACATCCAAGAAGGACCATACAACCCTATACATACTGCCAAAAACAAAGCCCATACAACCCTCTCCACGAAACAGTGTAGAAGGAAGTGATTCACCGACTCCTTCTCCTTGAACATGCAATACCAGTTCACGAGATTGTCTAAAGGCCCTCCAGGGAGAGCTGCTGACTATGCAAAGAAAGCCACCTTCAGGGGGGCTTTTCAATCTCCTAACTACCTTCCAAGGAAAGGAAGGGCCCATACTCTCCAAGGGACTCTGATAAAATGATTGCACTCCCAAATCCCCTTTTGGGGAGGCCTTCCAAACCATCTCATCAATCCCCTCCCCTCCACCACCTAACTACACAACAAAGCAAGAAACTCTTCTACCTCTGCAAGCTCTAAATCATTGAAATCTCTCTGAAACTGCACAAAATCCCAAGTCGTCCTCCCGCTATCGAGCAGATAACAATCTACGACTAAGGGATGCATGTCCGTAGCAATCCGGAAGAGCAGTGAGAATCTACAAGCCATAGAAATGTTCCCACACCAATGATCCTACCAAAATCTGACAAGCCTCCAAACTCCTAATCCTGAACCAAATGCTTTAAAGCAACTCATCCCAACCCTTCCGGATACTCTTCCAAACCCCAACTCCAGTGGGAGACCTCACCTCCCTAGAGAACCACCCACCTACGCCTTCCCCATCCTGGCATAAAATATCTCTCCACCACAATCTCTCTCCCAAATCTCCATCGCCATTTGCCCAACAAAGCCTTGTTGAACAAACCTAGCCTCTTAATGCCCAACCCCTGTTTGAATAGGAGTACAAAACTTCCTTCAACTCACCAAATGATATTTTATACATCATATCATCCCACAAGAAATTCCTTAGCGGCTTCTCCAGCCTCGTGACAACAGCCATCTGAAAAACGGATATAAAGTACGTCGGAAGATTCGAAAGGGTACTCTTCATGAGAGTTATGCACCCCCCTTCTGAAATATATGTTTCTTCCAACCGGCAGGCCTTCTCTCGAAGCACTTGACAACTGGGTCCCAAATGGACACCCCCCTCGAAGAAGCCCCCAAATAATATATCGGGATGGAGCCAACCCCACACCCAAGGATATCGGCAAAGGTAAGAATCTCCTCTTTTCTTGAAGTTGTATTTTCATTCAAAACTAAATGAGTAAATTCTACTCACTTGAAAGTCAGAAATAAATTGCCATGTAGGTTTAAATTTCTTGGAACAATAATAGTTGAGATAAAAATAATAATTTATTAGGGTAAATTTTATTTAATTTTTTGATGCATTTATGGTCATAAAAGTACTGAAATCATAAATAAATTAGTATTTCACATTAACAGCGACCAGAAAAAAACCTACTTATACAAAATAATATTTATTGGTTAAAGAAAAATTTAGCAAATATCAATATTAGTATAATGGATTTTAGGGCTAAAAAATGTGCACCTTACTATACAGGGAGTTGTGTAATCAAAATGAAAATTCATGACTCTAGTATCCATATCCCATCATGTAACATCCATTAAAACCCCAAACCATGTCACCACACCCTGCCCACAACACCCAATTAAAACCTCACACTAAAAGAAATTCTAGTGGTATGGAATCATCAATAGCATTTCAAAATGAATAATTGTGCTTCAAATAAAAAAAAAACATTTTATTTAATATAACCAGTATTCAACATCTTGATTGAGAAATTGTTCACAAGCCCAAGCAAGACAACTTCAAAATCCACAAAAACATCCAAAATCAAAAATGCTAACCTGAAATCCAAAAACATACTGTAGAAAATCCAGCATATCTGCATTCCTTGTGGCTGGTATGGGAACATTTTCTGGCAATTTTGGTAGACCCCTGAAATACTTCAAGGCAGAAACTGCAGCTTTTACCTGGAGATAAATTTCATTGCTGGATATTAGCACTAGAAATAAAAGAAAATGATTGAAGAAAAGAACTCATCTCACCTCAGGCAAAGTCCCAATCACATTTGTTATGGCAGGAGCATCCAAAGGAATAATGTTATAGGCAATTAAGTCTTCCGTCATAGCTGCATCCGATTCAATTACACGTTTCAGCTGAAAAACGAAAAGGAAAATAAGCAACCATACAAATTGAGGCAAGATCGTATCAATGGTTTTCTTTTTCAAGAACCAGGATAGTTTTAGTAATAATATGTATGAAAGTGAAACTCAGTCAAGATATATCTCAGACTAGTGCGATGATAATAACACAAAATATCAAACAAAGTAACAACAGCAGTAGCCTTTCCCAACTTCTCCATAAATTCAACAGCAATCAATACATGATGTTGGACAGACAGCAGCACTGAAAATGATTGCATAACAGACATGGGAAGCCAAATGGAGTGAATATTCAGAATTAAAATAAACTGTGGGTACTTTTTGCGGATGACACGGTTGACACCCTGGTTTTCTGTGATGCTGATGTGTCTCAGCTTAGATATTTCAGGTGCATCTTGCCCTGTTTTCAGGCTGTTTATGATCTGAAGGTTAATGTGGCTAAAAGTGCGCTTGTTCTGGTTGGAGTTGTTCAGGATATCTCATCTTTAGCGGCAGTCCTTAGGTGTAGGGTGAGTTCTTTTCCAATTCCGTATTTGGGTTTGCCTTTAGGGGTTTCCTCTAGAACGGTGGGGAGTTGGGACCCTGTGATTGATAGGTATGCGAAGAGATTGGCAGGATGGAAAAAGCAATACTTGTCTAAGGGGGGGAAAGTTCCGCTTATAAAGAGCACTTTATCAAGCCTTCTCACATATTTTTTATCTATGTTCCAAATTCCATGCTCTGTTGCTGCTAGGATTGAAAAAATTCAAAGGGATTTCCCTTGGGGTGGAAGAGGAGAAGAATTTAAGTATCACCTTGTCAATTGGGAACAAGTCTGCAAGCCAATGAAGTTTGGTGGTCTTGGTATCAGAAGACTGGTCCCCTTTAACCAAGCTGTTTTGGGAAAATGGCTATGGAGGTACGGGAGGGAAAGACATCGCCCTTGGCAAAGGCTTGTTTCATGCCGATATGGGGAAGAGAGTGGTGGTTGGTCTACTCGTCCGGTCTCTCTCGGGGGAGGAGTTGGGGCATGGAAATTCATTTGGAAGGGATGGGATGCTTTTTCTACTCATATCAGATTCAAAGTTCGTGATGGCAGATGTGTACGCTTTTGAGAGGATCTTTGGTGTGGAGACTGGCCTTTATCTTGTTCATTTCCCAGATTATACAGTATTGCAGTTGATAGACATGCCTAGGTAGCCAACTGTTATCGGCTTGATAGTATTGGAATTACGTGGGACATGCACTTTCGACGCTCTTTTCAGGATTGGGAGGTGAACGAGGTATGTGTTTTTCTGGATTTGTTGTATCGACAAGAGGCAGTTGGCAGATGTTGTGATGACATGACATGGATTCCCTCTTCCCATGGTCGCTTCGAAGTTCAATCCTTATTCTTATGTCTTTCTGAATTTGATATCGTTGATTTTCTGTGGAAGACTATCTGACGTTCTATGGCTCCAACTAGGGTGGCATTCTTTGTTTGGACCGCTGTATGGGGTAAGATCCTGACAATTGATAATCTTAGGAGAAGGGGCAACTGTCTTGTTAACTGGTGTTGCCTTTGCAAACAAGATGGTGAGTCAGTTGCTCATATTCTCAGGCATTGCCCTATGGCAAGGGATTGTTGGAATCTTATCTTTTGTCTGTTTGGTATGCGTTGGGTTATGCCTTGTTATCCTAAGGATTTGATTCGTATTTGGAGAGGATGCCGTGTGAGTAGTGTTGTTCACGATTATTGGAGAGTTATACCACATTGTGTCTGGTGGTGCATTTGGAAGGAGAGGAATAGTAGAATGTTCAAAGGGAAAGACGTGGACAATTCTGAAACTTCACATCGTACACTCTCTTTTCAGTTATGTGAAGAGAAAGTCATGTTCCTCTCCCGAAAATTTAATTATTTTTTTGGCTTCTTTGGGCCTTATACCCCGGTTCCACTTTTGTATAAGGGATGCGTTTCCCTCTTGAACGCCTTTTTATTTCAATTATTACTTATCAAAAAAAAAAACCTATGGGTACAACAACTTTATAGGAGCGAATGATGCGGAGGGTCTCCTTTGATGGCATTAAGGTACAATCGATAAGAAATATATGAGAGAATCAGTGAAGAGTTAGAGATCTTTGTCGGTAGACATAGCAAAGCCTAACTGTAACACTTGGATAAATTTGTAATGTAGATTAGTTAATATAAAAGGGTAAACTTGTAAAAGACAATTGAATAATTAATGAATTAAAAATAATATATATATAGGGATAACCTATTATTCTACACAATAATAAAAAAATTAAATATATATCTTAAGCCAATAACCAAACAAAGGAGAATAAACCCCTACTATATATACATTGGTCGAAATTGCAAATAAGGGTTATTATAACTCTTCACAATTTTGGAGAGGAAGAAAGGGATATAGACTCATTTAAAACCACACTCCAAGCCCATTATTTTGGGCCTGCTCCCACGTCCATCAGAATAAAAAAATAATTATTAGAATTTAAAATTAAGAAATTTTGGGAAAATATCAAAAATTACAAAAATTACAATTAATAAAGTCAATTTAGACTTGGGAAATTGAATTTAGATAGGGATTTAGGTTGACTAATTGTGAGTAGGGATGTAAACGAGCCGAGCCTAGTAGCCTGTTTGAGCTCAGCTCGGCTCAGCTCAAAAACAGGGTGTTTGAGCTCGGCTAGAAAATGTTCGTAATAAATTCGAGCCGATACATTTGGCATCATATATATATATATATATATATATATATTACCGTTTACATAGAAACCAAGATCAAACAACAAATCATATATATGTATCTTCTGTAGATAAATATAAATCTGCATATACATACATACCTAATCCTTCCAGTCATGGAAGGAATCATCATCCAACACCACTGGATCTTCATCATCAACACAAAATGCATAGTTTCGGCACTCCAAATTCCGTCAATGAATCCAGTGACACAAATATGAAAGAAATAAGAGAGCTGAGAGGTCAGACGAGAGACAGATAGCAAGAGAGATTGCCCTTCTTGTTGCTGGCATTCATGGTTTGTGCGTGTGGTGTTGGGTGTATGTGGTGGTCGTTCACTTTTGACTAAAAATAGCAAAAGGGCTTGGGACTAGAAATAGTAAATGGGCTTGGGACTAGAAAATAGTAAATGGCCTTGGGCTTTTATTTTATGTGTCATAAACATACATTTTCTTTAGCTGGGTTGGGTTAGGTTTTACATGTTAATGAAATAATTTAATGGGCCAAGTGCACATGGGATAAGCAGCCTAAGCTTATACCTAAAAATCTACAAACATTTATTTATCAATTTCACGACCCCAAAACGAACTCCTAAATGAGCCTGTTTCACAAACAAACGAGTCAAACCAAGAGGTGTTTAAGATTGTTTCGTTTTATAAATGAACATAGCATTTTTGTTTGAGCTCAGTCCGTTTATTAAACAAACGAACATGAACCAAGCCCTTGTCGAGCCAAGCTCAAGCTGTTTGTTAAACGCTTGGTTCATTTAAAGCCCTAATTATGGGATAGGTTATGAAAGTAGCACTTTTGGGTACAAAAACCGAGTATGTATTAGTTTTAATTAGTTAGTCTTAAAATTTTATAGGCAACTATATTAGGTAACATTACAGCTTTCTAGATATAGTACTCTCTTTATATTGAGTTTATAGGTCATAAATACTACTTTTGGAACATGAGTGCCTGTTGTGGGACACGCCCATCTTAATGAAAGAACCTCTCAACTTCTGCTAACCAAATCAAGGAAATCTTCAATATGAAGATGACCATTAAAACCGAGAAGGTTAATATTTTTATGAAAATCCCTAGACTCACTATCCCATCATCGTTGAAGCCTTCCTGATAGGCTGGCTCACCATTTGGCAAGAAGGGGTAGCGATCACAAACCAGATGAACACGATCTTCGTCATTGTTGTGCAAATTGTTGTCGTGGAGATCTTGATCAAGACCCAACACAATCTTGACAAGGGATACTTGAATATCTCGCAGTGTTTGTCAGGTCTCACGTTGAAAGTCCTCAAATTCAGCCCCTAGTATGAGCCACTCCCTATGATCTTTGTCACCAACGAGGTCACCACGAACACGTGCATCAGCTATCAGTCCAGAGTAGAACAAGGCTCTAATACCAACTAACAGAGTAGAGGCTCACTACACCCTCTGTCTTCTACAATTTTCTCTTATCTTGTTCTAAGTCACTTTACTCTTACATTTCATACATATTTATACATACATTTCCCACTTCTACAATTTTCTCTTATCTTGTTCTAAGTCACTTTACTCTTACATTTCATACATATTTATACATACATTTCCCAATCTCTAACCGGTCTAAGAACACAATCACCAACCTACACAAGCAACCTTTTGTTCCACCATTCTTCATAGCATTTAATGTGCTCAAATTTGTCTCCAATACAAACAAAAGGTATTGAAAAAATAAATAAATAAATAAATAAAGAAGCTTTTTCTCAACCCACTTCCCAACAATGGTGTAAGATAAAAAGAAAGATTCACTATTTGGGGGGACCCACAAGGTTGTCCAAGCCAAATCATGTCAATTTCCTACAGCAGAATGCTAGTGCTCTAAGAACGCAAACTAGCTGCTCTAACCATTTAACACAACTAATCACCAAAAAATATCCCCCTCAACCAAGATATTATGAAGCACCAAACATAACTTCCCCTTCAAAATAGAGACATTTGATGCCAAGTACATCACCAATATCCTTACCCTAATATGTGCTCATGGTTGTTTTAGTTTGTTAAGTTTAATTGAGTTTTCTACGTTTTGTCTACCACAATGAATAAATACAAAGTTCTATCCAGGCCCATGAATGCCACAACCAAGATCCTTACTCCAAAACATGACTATAAGTGCATGCTTCCCCACTTTCACTTTAAGCATAATGTTCTGTTCTACTTATCAAAAAAAAAAACATGATGTTTTCTTCTCTTTAATAACTTGCAAGGTTTATAACCTTTTTTACATCGTTCAGAACGATTTATTGATGCTTGCCATAGAAAAAGAGATTCAAACTAATCCCAACAATAATTCTAAATAGGGCTGCAAAAGAGCCGAGCCGTTCACAAACGGCTCGGGCTCGGATCGTTAATTACTCAGCTTGAGTTCGTTTATTGGGCTCGGATTGTTAATTACTCGGCTCGAGTTCGTTTATTTAATAAACGAACCGAGCTCGAGCCGAATTATGAAGATCAATTTATAAACGAGCCGAGTCACTCGTTTGTTCATGAACCGTTCACAAACTGAGCTCGATAATGTGTTCACAAACAAGCCTAATTATAAAACATATATATAATATATTTATAAAAAAATGTAGCTAATCTTTTCAACCCCTCTGTAACACCACGTGATCCACAAAGGGTACCCTTTTTCTCATCAGTCATCATAGTCTAGAACTCATTACCTCTGAATTCTCAAAAGTTGAAGCCTGAAACCACCAAAAGAGTCTTTTCATTTTGTTTCATTTAACATGCAAACCCTAGCCACCACAGCGAACCAGAGGCAGCGACAACAAGATTCAATAGCGGATCCACCAACTGACAACCGGAAAACCATAAACATCACAACAGAAACACAGCCACTCTCTTTCATCTTAAACCGATCTCATCCTCTCTCCCATGATATCCACAGTGCCGTTTGGAAGTCCTTTCAGATTGTATGAGCGGAATTAAAAGATTGATGGTGGAGATCGGAATTACAATGGTGATTTCTTTCACCGATTGAGAGACCAGGTAGTTTGTAAACGAGCTCACGGGCCGAGATCGAGTTTGCTCTAACAGGGTCAAGCCGAGCTCAAACTTGCCTAAGCTAGGCTCCCGAGTATCGAGCTCGACGAGCTGAGCTCGGTCACCTTCTAGACTAGCCGAGCCGAGCCCAAACAACTCAATACTCGGCTCGGTGAGGCTAGATTGCAGCCCTAATTCTTAGCATGTTTTCAAGTGCATAGATAACTTCCTAATTTAAACACAAAAAAGCAGTTTAAAAGTATCAAAGATCAAACCTCTTCAGGAATTAGTCTTTCTGCATCTTCAGGAGAGACCTCCTTCGTCAACTGCTCTAGTACCATCCCTAGAACTCTTAATGTTGCATAAACCTTTTTCCTTTTCACAGTTTTACGCTCCAACCTGATTTTAACAAAACATGACAAGTCAACTAATAAATATGAGAAAACAGAAAAATATAATGATAGTAAAGTGATATTTAATTGTCTATAAAATGTGTCCAAATCTATTTTTTGGGTAGTTAAAAGAATCTGCTTTTTATGCGCAATACTTTTCTCAAACCCCCAGCCCAAAAAAAAAAAAAAAAAAGAACAAAAGGAACAAATATAAAATCCTCTAAAGGCGGATGAAATGAGGAAAATAAAGCATATATATATATATTGGAAAATAAAGCATTACTTTGAAAAGCAATTACAATAACATATATTCCCTAGTTTAAAAACTTACTCGCCAAGGTTACCACTGAAAACACCCGACTCCCTCAGCTTCATTTCCTCTTCCCTTAGCTTGTCCGCATTATGCTTCTCTCTATAAAGCTTGTAAAACTCCTGTAAGCGAGTGATATCCTGGCTTCTATCAATGCTTCCACCCTCCCTCTTTGCTAGCTTTTGCTGAAAGATTGTTCAAGAAAAGCAGAATACAAAAAAGATGCATGATATATTCAAAGTTCAAATACCAAAAATAAAAAAATTGCAACTGATTCAACTGAAGTCCAAGGAACAGTTCATATCAATTAGCAAAGCAGGAATTAACATCCTAAGATCAAGTACAACAAATTTAAAAATTAAAATAATAATATAAATAAAACAATTTTGATATGGCTGAAGTCCAAACTAATATTCAAAATATCAAGCAAGTGCCAAACCACCAAATGGATCAGAGGCTAATCATCAATCTATAGAAGTGTTCTGACTGATTACATGTCAAACATATGGACTATCACAGACCAAAATGTTGCATATATATAGTTATGAAACATGGGTGCATGCACACACAAGTACTCTTTCCATTTGTTGTTGTATCGATGTACATACTGAGTTCCTAGAGAGCTCAAGACAACAGTTAATCATCTCATCAACTAAAAAATTACCTTGATAACAGACATCAAGCCAGTCTTGAACTGTAAAACACCCCTTCCCTCACTATTAGGATCCAGATTTTGAGCCAATGAGTAAGCATGCTCACATACTGCAGTGAACCAACAAAGAAAGAACAGCTTCAGACAAATATAAAGGATTCCATCTGGTATATTAAGGAATCATTGGAGTGCATATGACATGTTTAAACTATATATTTCCTTTTTAGACAATAGTGCACTAGCACTTCTTACTGTTCCTAGGATTCAAGTTATTCATCATTTCTTCAGATATATAAGACTTACAATAGAGAACCACAAGAGAGCAATCCATGTACACGGAAAGTATAAAAAAACTATTCAAAAACTATATCCTTGTAAAATAAAAAAAAAATAAAAAATAAAAAAGAAGGCAGATAAAGACATCCCAAGACCCAAAAGAACAAAAAGCTAATCATGACATATATCAACTTTCACCTATCCCACCACTCCCTCAAATGATCATTAATATCTCTCCCTCCAAAGGCACCACCAGAAACACAAGGAAGCGGCCTACCAACCCATTTTCATTCTCCCACTCTTCTGCCTCCATAGACAACTAGCCAAAGGTTCAGACTCCGAATGTGTCACCATCCACAGCAAGCTAAAGACCAAAAGAACATATAAAACATCACCTTTTTTATATATAAGTAATATATTCATAGAAGAGCGCTCAAAAAAAATGGAGCGCAATTATATAACCACATCACTGTTACTACTGGGCAATTGATCAATAGAGAGTTCAATGACTTCTCATCCTTATTACAAATGCAATACCAGTTAAGTAAGATTTGTAGCCACTTAATCATATTATCAATGATTAAAAACTTCTATAACAAAATTGTATACATGAAGAAAGTAACTGTGGAGGGACAATAGTCCTCTAAATTTCCCTCTACTAGAATAGGAAAGGCAATTGGGGGGGGGGGGGGGGGGGGTGTGGGGCTTGACAAAGGAAATAATATCCCAAACCCATTCAATCTTAAAGCAAATAGGCTCAGGATTGAAAAAATTTCTCAGGGCGCAACAGGTTACCATTGTCTACTCTATTTTTTTGGGTTTATGGCCGAAATTGTAGATCTATGGGGGATCTTTTGGATTTTGTGTTCTCTTGGGTTCGCACCCTTTTTCAAGTGCTTTAAATGATATTTTACTTAACAAAAAAAATAATTAATTTCAAGGTATTGACGTCAAATTATTTGAACAAAATTAGTCACAAGGCCCTGTAAGAATAATTGAGTGGGCATTCACATATTAACAGAGCATGCACAAATTCCTACAAAATCAACTTAACTGGTATTTTAAAAACATATATATCAAGTTGAAAGCATTTTCTAGAGCAAGTTGAAGTCAAAAGTGTTTATTTACTATCATAGAGGTGCTAGGTGCCTCATCCTCCATTCTGACATACTGCGGGATGTTCTTATTTTTATTTAATATAAAGGAACAAATTAACATAGGTAATTAAGTATGATAGGCAGATCAGGGCAAATTTGTCAAGAAACATAGATGTTAATGGTGCACAGAGGCTCCAAAAGGCACCAAGGTCGGCAAGGCTCAATCGGGGCGCCTCAGCCTACTACAGGTCATGCCCTTTCATCACTCAAAAGTTCCTTTTCTCCAATAGATTTAGTTATAGTTTAATCTGATAAACAGATCTGTACCCATAAAGATCACCTGCAAGGTCTCTTTTTAGATAATTAGAGGTGCAGTTTCTGTTATTCTCTTTACTTATTTTGTACTTCTATTAGACATCGTTTCTTTTCCTAGTTTCTATTAGACATCTTTATTTTTCCCTAGTTTCTATTAGACATCTTTTCCCTTCCTCTTTCACCATTACCTTTACATTTTTAAAGTACTGATAATCAGCACAGACATAACCTCACGTGATCGAGCAAAGACATTAAGCAGAATTACTAAAATTACCAAAATCCATCAAACCTAATAATAAAGACAAAAAAAAAAAAAAAAAGGGAAAATTTCCATACAGATTCTTGCGACATTTGGATCTTCATCTTGAATTTCATCTGCAGTTCGTAAGATTGCATCTACATCCCTACTGTTTTCAAGGGAAGACGGGACATTTCCAGCAATGCCACTTACTACCTGCCCCCATGCATCAACCCCGGTCCTTTCCCTCCTTAGAGCTGCACGTACCAAACGCTCCCACAAAACCTCTGCTCGAGACATCTCCTGTATGAAAAAGAAAATGAATTTTAAAATGCAAGTATACTTACTTCATCCAAGTATTAAAAACAAAGTTCACCAAAATTAACCATAAGATTAATGAAGCAAAAAGGAATAAGAACTGCAAAAGAGACTCAGAATCAAGCAAGTCCAGAAAAAAGAACAACGGGTGGAAAAAAAAAAAAAAATTTGATAATTAAACAAAACCCGATATTATTTGGTATTAGAGTAAATCTAACAAGAGAAATAAAATAAAATCTTAAACTGTGATAAGTTTCTTAAGTTGATTCATGATTCTTCACACTAAGAACTCAGAAAAAAACAATTTCAACTCAACTAAGCGAAATTATACCGTGCAACAAAATCTCTCACAAGCAAAATACCGTAAAACTTGTAAAACAAAACATTAAAAATTTTCTTTTCGCTTTCACTACTATTTCTCAATTATCCAGGCAAGCAAACAACATATTTATCCACAAAACCAGGGAATGGCACATTCTATTTTCTACTGGCACAAGACTTCATTAGATTCCATGCTCTTTATCAAAATGGATCACCCAAAGCCAATTTCAATTCACACAAAAATACACATATATACATAAAAGAGAGTCAGAGAGAAAGAGATGTATACTTCAATATCTCACGTACGCTTGTGTAAACATACATACGTATACATATAGAGAGAGAGAGAGAGAGAGATTGAGGCTCACCGGATCTGAGATCACGCCGGAGAGTCACTGGTAAAATAAGTTCTAGAGAAAACGTGTGTGTATATATAGATATAGTTATATGTATATAAACCCTTGAGTAAGTAAACCCTAGAAATTTATGAAAGTCGAAGAAGGAGCTGAAAGAACCCGTATGAGTATGAGCAGAGATTTGAAACGAGGAAGAGGCACGAATCTAGTAAAATAGGAAATGGGAGAAATGTCGTGGATCGGTAATACCGGCTGTACCCGGTTGACACGGCAATGGCGAGGCTCGATTTAGAAGACGCGGAGAGGAAACTTTTCCTTGAGAACAACCGGAGACTTTTCACTGTGGTTGGGACCTCTCTTAAGGGAGTCTTTGGTAATTGCATGTATGGAGTATTATTTTATTTTTATTTTTTTTTCAACTAATTTATCAGGGTAATTTACACAAAGAAACTTGGGGCATTTCACAAGGCCAATTTGGGCAGCTCGTTTAAAATACAGTGAAATAAAGAAAGATGGTCCCATATAGAATACAGCAAATATGAAAGGTCTAAAAATGTTCCATGTGATCCATATTCCTATAACAACTTTCTAAATCCACATTCAAGGTGAGAACATCAACATTCATAACTGAAAGTCTCGGCAAAGGCTCAATGGATGGAATGACTTATTCCAGGGAATGCAGTTATTCATTTCCCTCATATGTGGTAAAGCATGCCAAGGTGAGCTTCCATATCAGTGCTCTGATATACTTTAATTTTGGTTTCTCAGTTTGAAGATGCCTAAATATGAAAATCTTTCCATGAGTTAGGTTAGTATAGAACCCATATTTCTTTTATTTTTAGGTTAATTTTACTTACATCCTTCAGGTCTAGTCGAATATCACATTGAAATACCTTTCGAAAATCAATTCACGTTTTCCATGTAAAAATATATTGTTACCCTCTTTGCTTTGTGTTGACTTATTAAAAAATTATTTGAAGTATAAAATGACTTAATTACCCTATAATACCTATGTTAAATGACCAAAGTATCCATTAAAATATGTGTATGTATATATAACTTTACAATACTGTCAGTTTTTTGTTTTGATAAAATAATTCAATAGAATAGCATTAATCATTCATTTGGTTTTTTTCTTTTTTTATTTGTGTGTGTGTGTGTGTGTGTATATATATATATATATATATATATATATATTATATGTTTCTAACTCCATCATAGATAAAGTATATAAAGCCTATAAGGTTGAATGGAATGGATCGACAAATATCTGTTAATATATAGACACAAAAAAAAAATTCAAAGAAAATGATGAGAAGCCAAATAGTAGTATTGGATATAATTCAAACGGGTCTTGAATAAAACCCAAGGAATTCTGAAGAAAAAAACAAAAATCACATATTTTGGGAAGAGAGAATCATAACTTTCAAGAGCTCTGAGTCCATACATGTATATGTATCCATTTGTATGCACGGTATGTATATATATGTGTATATATATGAACCCATAATGGATTAGAACTATATATACAAATGGGTTTATACAAAATGTGTTTATATAAAGTGGTCAGTCATACATTACATGGTTGGACTAAATTAGGGATAATAAATGAGAGGTAAATTAGTCATTTTAGTTAATATTTTGGAATAAATTGTACGGAGTATTAAAAAATTATGGGCCAAATTGTTTTTTCACACAATTTTAACAGTGTCAGTGACAAAAAAGTAAAATTGGACTTAAGTGATAATAATTTTCGAAAAGTATTTCAATATGATATTTGGCCAAATTTAAAAAGGTGTTAGTGAAATTAACCCTTCTATCTTTAAATGTTATTTATCTATTCTTATTACCAAAATAAATGACCAATCTAATACTTGCTTTAAGGAAATTACAAGAGCTTTCCATCTGAAAATCTCTACTAGATATGTTTGGTTAAAATAAAAAGGTTTTTTTTTATTTATGTAGAGATTTTGACTTTAATCAAAGCTAAAAATTAGAGCTTTTTGCAAGTACAAGAAAAAAAACATATAAAATAGTTTATTTTTGACAAATATTATTGTTTACACACTTATTTTCCACTTTTCAGTAAGAGATTACCCTGGTCGATTCCAATGGAAATGTACTACCACATTCCAGTGGAAAGTCTTGGGACACATGGTAGCTAAGGAAGCAAGCAGTTACAAGTGATTACATGCAAAGTCATGGGACACATGGTAGCCTAGAAAGTGAATGGTTACAAGTGGTTATATGCAAAGTCATGGGATACATGGCAACCTAGAAAGTGAGCGGTTACATACAAAGTCATGGGATACAAGATAGCCTAGGAAGATGGTCGATTCCAATGGAAAGTTACTATGACATTCCAGTGGAAAGTCTTGGGACACATAGTAGCTAAGGAAGCAAGCGGTTATAAGCGGTTACATGCAAAGTCATGGGATACATGGTAGCCTAGGAAGTAAGTGGTTACAAGTGGTTACATACAAAGTCATGGGACACATCCTAGGAAGTGAGTGGTTACATGCAAAGTCATAGGGCACATGGTAGCCTAAGAAGATAGTTGGTCCAATAGAAAGGTACTACGATGTTCCAGTGGAAAGTCTTGGGACACATGGCAGCTAAGGAAGCAAGCGGTTATATGCAAAGTCATGGGACACATGAAAGCTTAGGAAGCAAACAGTTACATGCAAGCTACCATTACTAAACTCTATAAATAGGGCATAATATTGTTACTTAGAAGGTCTGCTCAACGCCAAACACATAATTTCAATACAACTTTACTTTTCATTGCAATGCACTTTCAATATGATTAGTTTCAGTCCTGCACTTTACTTTTCATTAGATAATTTTACAGTCTTTCCAATTACTTTCTCAGTTCTTCCTAGCAAGTTAACAATCCCGAAGTCCTTTATCAAAGGCAAAAAGAACCCTGAGGTGTTCATTCCAGACCTCAACACAATCGCCTGGTCCCGCAGTCTTCCTTCTGGAATATTGTTTGGATCTTTCTTTGGAACTACTGCAGTTCCTGGTACGCCCATCAGTACCATCGAAACTGGCACCAGCTTTTTTTAGGCCAAACAATTATATATAAAAATATTCTACATACCGTGTTACCAAATAAGTTGTGTTTACCATGTATGGATGAAGAGGAATGGTAGAATTTTTCGTAATTCATTATTCTCTCCATCTAAAGTCATCAATGTGATCATGGACTTTGTTCATTGTAGGAGGTTGTTCGGGATAAAAATCGTCTCCGACGCCACAGGGGATATGTCCTAGCCGGTTACAAAAGGTAAAAATCATACAAAAGGCAACAAAGTAATGTATTAGAATACAATACTATATTTATTTATTGCCTCTTTTACCTATACATACAGGTCCACGAGACAACAATTGAAAGGGCAACAATTGAGTTGTATTTGAATTTTCAAACCCCCACATTTTTTTTTCATTTTTTCATCTTCTTCACCTCAAATGTTTAGTTTTTCTTTCTACACACACACACACACACACTCTCTCTCTCTACACAATCCCAAGAGAAAAATGATCATAGAGTTATTATTGTGACCCATTTCTTTCTCCTCATAAACTACAAGCTAAACTTATAGACTGATTGATTCTTTTCTTTGGATCTTTGAAGGCAAAGTTGAGGAATTTTGTAAAGATTTTCAAGTAACACATTCCCTACAACTGATATTAGGTATGTTTTTTAGTTTTAATTTTTTTTTGACTCTATTAAATGTTTTATGTGTTATTTTGCAATAATAAAAGTTGGGTATAATATTTACGATCGACTATTGATTCTAAATACTTGTATGAATTCATATAGTGAAATACAATAGAATATGGAATTTTGTATACAGATCATTGGGTAGGCATGTTAGAACGGAGTTGGGATGTAGTACTCTTGGACATGGGAATTATATACATTAACATATTGGGATGTGCACGTAATATATTTTTTTGGATTATTCAATTCAAATCAATTCTTCCCTTTTTTGCATTGTATAGTTATAAATGTTAGATTTTTTTTAAGAGATTACGTGTATCAATTTGTATGTTGAAATATATATTACATTGCTCAGGCATGTTAGAACAGAATTGGGATATGGTAGTCTTAGAGATGGGGATTATTAAAATTGACATGCTGGGACGTCCACTTCATACACTTTTTGGGAATATTCAATTCAAATCAATTATTCCTTTTTTTGCCTTGTATAATTATAAATGTTAGATTTTTTTTTTTTTTAAACAAAAAAAAAAAAGAAGTGATTTTATATATATTTCATTGCTCAGACATGTTAGAATAGAGTTGTGATGTGGTAATCTTAGAAATGGGGATTATTCACATTAACATGTTGGGACGTCCACTTCATACACTTTTTAGGATTATACAATTCAAATTAATTTTTCTGTTTTTTTGTGTTGTATAATTATACATGTTAGACTTTTTTTGAAAAGATACGTGTATCAATTCATATGTTGAAATAAAGTAAAAAAAATAAGGGGGGATTTTGTATATATTTCATTGCTCAGGCATATTAGAACTGAGTTGGGATGTGGTAGTCTTAGAGATGGGGATATTTATTCTAACATATTTGGACGTCCACTTCATACACTTTTTGGGATTATTCAATTCAAATCAGTTATTCCCTTTTTTGCGTTGTATAATTATAAATGTTAGTTTTTTTTTTAAGGGATATGTGTATCAATTCAAATGTTGAAATGAAGTTTAAAAAAAAAAAAAAAAGTGATTTTGTATATATTTCATTGCCCAGGCATGTTAAAACAGAGTTGGGATGTTGTAGTCTTAGACATGGGAATTATTCACATTAACCCATTGGGATGTGCACTTCATATACTTTTGGGGATTATTCAATTCAAATCAGTTCTTTCCTTTTTTGTATTATATAGTTATAAATGTTATATTTTTCGAAGAGATGTTTCATGCAGTTCATCGTTGATACATGACTAAACTAAGTTGAGATGTGCAACTCTTAAGTGGTGATTGGTGTTCCAATATTTTAAATTTCAGTTCTTCGATTATCTTTTCTATTTTCCATTGTTTACTTATAACAAGTTAGAAAAAGGATTGGATTTGGTTTGAATTTCATGGGTGACACATTATGTTACTTCAATTAAATTATAGGTTCAAAATTTAACTCCTTCCGATGGAAAATGAAATGATAAATATTGAAGACATAACAAATGCTTCAGTTATATAGCCCCAAGTGAATAAATGGAAACCAAAATTTACGATGGAGTTTGATACAGAACAAGAGCCATACGATTTTTATAATGTATATGGAGGTAGACTTGGATTTAGCATCCGTAGGGAGTATGTTAATAAG